TCAACTGGTCTACTGTAACTCATCATCCTTACCACAAAATAAACTAAACTTGTCTTTATTAACCTCTGTTCTAAAGACTAGTTTAGTTTATTTTGTGGTAAGGATGATGAGTTACAGTAGACCAGTTGAAGCTGTATTTAACCTTATAAATCTAATGCTTTATTAACCTCTGTTTTAAAGACAAGTTTAGTTTATTTTGTGGTAAGGATGATGAGTTACAGTAGACCAGTTGAAGCTGTATTTAACCTTATAAATCTATTGCTTTATTAACCTCTGTTTTAAAGACTAGTTTAGTTTATTTTGTGGTAAGGATGATGAGTTACAGTAGACCAGTTGAAGCTGTATTTAATCTTATAAATCTATTGCTTTATAAACCTCTGTTTTAAAGACAAGTTTAGTTTATTTTGTGGTAAGGATGATGAGTTATGGTCGACCAGTTGAAGCTGTATTTAATCTTATAAATCTAATGCTTTATTAACCTCTGTTTTAAAGACAAGTTTAGTTTATTTTTTAACAGTAGGGAAATATTCAGACCAAGTTATCTAACAGTAGGGAAATATTGAAAAAAATCCCAAAGGGTGAAAACAGTAACCTAAGGACTGACTTATCAAAAGATATCACATTAATTTCGATTTGATCTCACCAACATATGCAGAATTTTAATAGGAAAAATTCTTACCTCTAGAATAGATTCCTTCAGATCGTCTACAAACTTTGTACGGTCATGTTCATTTCTAGCATTGAATGTTATCAGAACTTTGTTATCAACCCGCTGTGTAAGCCGAATTCCCTGTGGATAATCTGGACAGAGAAAAGTAGTTGAAGTTATTTTGTGAATTATAAAAAACTGCTTTTTTAACCTTAAGTTTAACTTTAAGTGATGTTTATCTTTCACATTTTTTAACATATCTAAAATGCTTCATTGCTCTTTTTCTTAACAAACAAATAAAATATAATATTACATAATAATTAAACCAGGGACATTTTGGTGAATTTAAGCCATTGTATCCACTAAATTAAACATTAAAAAACTCAAAGCCAGCCCTTACCATTCAAACATTTATTAAGAATTCCCATTAAACGCCCTTAAATAAACTGTGTCCACCACATTTGAAGGCAACCTATTCCAAATATCAACCACTCTCTTAAAAAAATAAAGCTGTCTAGCTGTATACAACTCCTACCTTGCCAACATTTATATTTGTGTCTCTAGCCCTACCATTCTCACTGTTAAGTAAGAAAAAAATGATGCATCAACACTATCAATTTCCTTAACAATCTTAAACACCCCAATCAGATCCCTCTAACTCTTTAATTTAAAGATACAGAGTAGAGAAAATATTCAAACAAATACAACTTAGTAATCGCAAGAGGAGAATTGCATTTCATATATACCGCTAAATGTTTGATTTTATCAAGAATAGCTAGAAAAGCTTATAGTTATGATATTTTAATGTTGGTTTATTTAAAGATTTTAACCACCACATACTCTATACAACTCTCAGAAACATCAGGTTCAGGGATACGAAGTTTTGAAACAGCTGTTTGTGGGATAACAACAGTTCTACATGATCACGTCTCACTGTTAGAAACGAAACGTTGTACAGAAATAATTGTTTCAAAACTTCTTATTGTTCATAAGTTAAGTGGGTACCTCTTACAAGCAAATAGTTTCAGTGATAGCTCTGTGGTGTCATTGTTGGGGGGCAAATAGGTATCTTGGGGACCCTTGGATGTAGTGATATTTTAAACATTACTTGTCAGTTGATGAAATAAATCAGATAACTATATATTCATCTTTTCCACTTCTTAACATTAGATAATTTTGTACATTTTATTTTTTTATTTTGGCCAGAATCTGGGGGCCTTTGATGGTAATAAAGAAAGGATAGGGGTGGGAGCAAATGCCCCCTTTAACACCCCTCCCACCCACCTACTGCCACCCCTGATCAGTTTGTTTACTTGTAAATACCAAAACCCATAAAATGGAAAACTTCTACAAAAATAACAGTTTGCTCTAAATCATGATAATTAAATTACACAAATAACCTAAAACAAACAAAAAATATATTAACATCATCTTACATGGAGCTTCAAAGAGGGTAACATTGATCCCACATAAAGGAAAAGACTGCCTGAATGTGTAGGTAATGCTGGTTTTCTTTTTACTGAAGATTTTAGAGACCTGAAAATACACATACCTTATGTGACTGAAACATCATTGATAGCTTTGCACTATAAGCTTTTCACTTTGAATTATCTAACAGCCCATACTGCAGTTATAAACCTTCTTGATCAGTTAGCATGATTTTCTACATAAGTTAAGTAAACTTAAACATCTTTAAATAAAACAAAGTTTCTAATTTATAATGCACATAAAAAACAAAGCAAGAAATGGTGACATAAAGAACGTTTTGATCATTTAGTAACTAGGAAGAAATAAAACAGGACATTAGAAACTTATCACGAAGTAAAGTAGAATACAAGACTCATATTACTAATACAAAATAAGACTTGTATTATGAGTAGGCTTGAAGAAAATGTTGCCCATAACCTCCTAAACTGTTCTTGTGACAAGTCAGT